ACCCCCGATTGCTCCCTGAGCACTGCAAAATGGCAGCCCACTGCTCCTCAAGGGGATGAGTTAAATCCAGAGTGGATTTCGTTGTTCTGTACTTGTGACAGTGTAATGACAATAAAAAGCTTAAAAAAAAACAAAACAAAAAACAAGCCTAAGTGAAACCTCTCCGGTTCTGGATCCTCTTTTCTTCATTCACCCTGCAGATTTTCAGATTTTTGTTTTGGAGATAGAAAACCAGGTGGTTTTGTATGTTTGGTCAACCATTTAATTTCATTTGCATGTTTTCTAAGCCAAAACAAGGTTTTTTTTTATCCACTCTGTAAAGCCTCTAACTCAACGCTAATTCAGACATTTTGAATTGTAAATGCTTCCTGGATGGGAAGTGAAATGTCTTTAAACTTGGAAACTAAGTCCAGTGGATTGTTTTTCAACTTTTTTGGAAAAATCAGATTCTTGTTCAGTTCCATTTGATTAAAATCACTTTATTTTTTCTGAAGGAAAATTTAATTTTCTAATACTTTTTTTTTCAAGGGGTTGTTATAGGTGTTAGGTGCTGTCTTGCAGCAGATCAGGGTAAACCTCTGACTGAAGACACTTTGTTGTCCTACAGTCTGTTAAAGTGGATGCTCTGGCTGGTCCTTAATGTTCTTCATTTTGTGGAGATTGTTCCCACAACAGGGCTGGACTTTCTGAAGATTTATTTACTTTGAAAGATTCCAATCAAAAAGTTTAACTTACAGACTCCTTTAATACAATATAGGTTTGGGATTATTTAAAAAAAACTTTTCCATATTTCTGTCTTATTCTGGTAAAGATTTTAGTCAAATTTTAGTCATACCAATTTCTGTATGATTTTTTTTTTTCATTGCTGATGTTCTTTTTACACATCTTTAACCTGCTTGTCCTTTTATTAGAAACTACTGTAGCAATGAAACTGTTTTTCATGACTGTGTGGTCTCATCTCACCACCAGATGGAGCTAAACAGTCACGTGGAGATCAATTCTATTTTATGTAAGATGCTCTTTTAACAACAGATTCTCATTATGCCCACTCATAAGATATTTGGCTATTTACTCTAAGAAATGTTCGGTATATGTGTGTGAACTGCATGCAGAACAGATCCTTACCTTAAAAAATGTAATGTTTTTAAAAAGAAATGTTCTTTTTTCCTTTGGGGAAATTAAATTACATTGCATTTACTCAACCTCAAGCCAAACTCTCTTAATCTTTCCCTCCATGGCAACAACAACGTGCAGGGAGGCAAAGGATGCAAAGTAACCTGTTGATATCATGTTATAAAAACATGATATAAATGACACTGAAAGGTGTTTTAATGGTTTTTAATACAATGTCAAAGAGGAAAATGATTCAAATGGCCCATTAATTGTATCCGAATTAAATCTGAATACTGTGGGTGAACCTGAGCTTCAATTCTGTTTTCCATCTCCGTCCACGTTCACATGCTTCCCCCCTCCACACCTTCCCACGCGCCCACTCATAAGTCAGCTTCTCAACAGCCTGTTGCTATTAGATACAGCTGAGCTTGTCACCATAGCAGCAAATGCTCCATCATTTTTTTCCCATCTGTTCTACTGATGCCTACTTTCACGTACACAGCCGATCAGCAGAGGGGTGGGAGGGTTGTCCTTGAGTTGCTGAGTCTTCTCAGGTCCAGCTGGGTGTGTGTGTGTGTGTGTGTGTGTCCACATGTCCTGACAGAAGACAGGATGCATGCATGCTTATTGGTATGCATGTCCTATCATCACTTTAGATGCCTTATTTATGATGTTAAAACTACCACCAGAGAACACAACATTTTCCACATAATCTTTAAAAACATTTTAAAAAGCCAACGCCTCTGTTCACAGCAGACATTCAGACTCTGAATATCACTTGTTGTGCTGACATGAGGAGATTGAACCTCCAGACGTGACTTGAATGCTCACGTAGTGTGCAGATGTCCCATGAGGCTGACGTCAGATTAACAGAAAACACACTGAGATGGAGAGGTGGTGGTGGTGGGGGAACGGGGTTAAGGAGAAGAAGCAGGAGACATGAGAATGAGAAAAGGGAGATGTGGGGATAGTCAAAGCTGATTCTTTGAGGCCAGTGAAAGCAACCCCCCCATACACACACACACACTCACAGGTTGCCATGGAGACCTGCTCTCGCTACCCTCTCCTCTGCGAGCTACCACTTATCCTTGCTGCCTTTCAGTCAGCAGGACATGTGGGTGTGTGTGCTTTTGTGTGTTGGCCCTTCAGGGAATTACAAAATGATAGGGTGAATATTTAGGGAGCCGCGTTTGCAGTCTCTTTAGTTCGGTTATCTAACTTTTCTTTTCCTTTGTGTTTTTCTTATATTAATTTACATTTTTTGTTTCCATCATCCATGGAAACATCTCCACAGGACATGTTTACATGTAGATTCAATCTACTGTTGTTGGTTTGTGTAAACACAAAATAGATGAGTACAGGCACAGTCAGAAAGTGCTTGCATCAGAAACTTTATGATTACTAGTCCTAATCAAAGGATAAGGAACAGAATATCAGGATTGCTAGCATTGAAAAGAAGAGTACATGATTATTGAGCCATTTTCTGAAACTGTGCTATTTATTTTTGCTGATTTTTTTAAAATTATTCTCATTATTTCCTTTCTCTTTTACTGCCGTTCACTGGGAACTCGCCCGCTATTGGACACAAAAGTCAGCAGTCAGTTTTTCATAACACCAGTGAACTAATATTCTGTTTTGCCACCTTACCTTATCATATTAGTTTTGGACACTGAGAATCAATGTACATACTGATATTTAACATAAACATGGGGTTAGGAGGATTGTTTTGCTTTTCTGATCACCAGCTCCTCCAACCAATCCTTCATGCATCCCACAAACCTCCAAAACACCCCCACAGTACATGAAGTCCTGCCCCCCACTGTGTTTGGAAAGAAAACACTTAACCCCCAGGAATCCTGTGTTTAGTGACTCACAAAAGGCTAAGTGGACCCGTTGGCTGACATCAGAACCAAATTGCTGCAAAACAAGCAGCTTAATACATTTGTCTTTGAGTTACAGGACTTTCCGATGGCTGAAGGAGGCTGCTGGTGTGAAGTTCCCTGATGTTTGACACCATCCATCCATCATCCTCTGCTTATCCAGGGTTGGGTCTCAGGGGTAGCAGCTTCAGCAGGGAAGCCCAAACGTCCCTCTCCCCAGCCACTTGAGCCAGTTCCTCTGGGGGAATCCCAAGATGTTCCCAGGCCAGCCGAGAAACATAGTCCCCCCAGCATGTCTTGGGTCTCTCTCTGTGTCTCGTCCTTGTGGAACGTGCCCAGAGCACCTTACCAGGGAGGCGTCCAGGAGGAATCCTAACCAGATGAATGAGCCACCTTAACTGGCTTCTCTCAATGTGGAGGAGCCGCCATTTTACTCAGAAGCCTCCCGGATGACTGAGCTCCTCACCCTATCTCTAAGCGAAAGCCCAGACACACTACGAACAAAATTAATTTTGGCCGCTTGTATCCTGGATCTTTTTCTTTCTGTCATGAGCCAAAGATCATGACCATAGATGAGGATAGAAACATAGATCAACCTGTAAATCGAGAATTTTGCATTTTGACTCAGCTTTCTCTCCACCACAACAGACTGGTACAGCGCCTGCTTCACAACAGACGGCGCACCAATCCCCCTATCGATCTCCCACTCCATCTTCCCCTCATTCGTGAACAAGACCACAAGATACTTTAACTCCTCCACTAGGGGCAGTATATCTTCCCCAACACAGAGAAGGCCCTCTACCCTTTTCCGGCTCTAGACTATGGTCTCGGATTTAGAGGCACTGATCCTCATCCCAACTGCTTTACACTCGGCTGCGAACTGCTCTAGTGAGAGCTGTAGATAAATGATGAAGCCAATAGAACTACGTCATCCACGAATAATGAATAATAATCCTAAGGCCACCAAAATCGATCCCCTCAACACTTTGCTTGTGCCTTGAAATTCTGTCCATAAAAGTTATGAACAGAAGAAGTGACAAAGGGTAACCTTGGCAGAGTCCAACTCTCACAAGTCTAACTTACTCCCGGCAATGCAGACCAGGCTCTGGCTACGTTCACACTGCAGCCTGAAGTGACCCAATTCCGATTTTTTTGCCCATATGTGACCTGTATCAGATCTTTTTATGACAGTCTGAACGACACAGATCGGATTTTTTCAAATGCGACCCAGGCCACTTGGATATGTGGTCCTGAATCCGATACGTATCTGATCTTTTCAAATGCGACCTGTGTCTGTACGGCCAGGTCGCATTCATCCGACCTACACGTCATTGATACTTGACAAATGTTACTAAACGTTACTAATCTGCGTCCTACTAAGCGGAGGCGGGAAAAACTAACAACCATTGCGGAAGATAACACAGAGAGCAGTCAATGGAGAGAAAGAGAGGTTGCTGACTTAATTCATATTTGGAAAGATAGCTCGATTCAGATCAAACTCGAAGGGTCTTACCGGAACCTGGCTCTCTTTCTTTTTGATCTTCTTAAAAAGATTTTGTTCGTAATGTGCCTGCTCCTGTTGGAGAAGAACTTAAAGAACGCAATATATGCTGCGGTATTACGAGTCATGTTTACTTCCTCAAACACTGAGGACGCTTGCTACATGTGACGTCATTGCGTCCTCGAGTGCGCATGCGGGACACTTCGGTTGAACGCTTTCAGTTCACACAGTAGATCACATACAAGTCGCATATACTTGGAAGTGTGAACGGACACGCAAAAAAATCCGATTTCACAAAAAAATCGTAATTGAGCATTAAGGCCTGCAGTGTGAACGTAGCCTCTGACACTGGTCATACAGAGACCTAACAGCCCTTATCAAAAGCCCTGTTACTCCATACTCCCAGATTACCTGCCACAGGATCCCCCGAGGGACAAGGTCGAAAGCCTTGTCAAGATCCACAGAACACATGTAGATTTGTTGTGCAAACTCCCATGCACCCTCAGGATCCTGCTGAGGGTGCAGAGCTGATCGAGTGTTCCAAGGCCAGGACGAAAACCACACCAGTAGTGTTGTTACTGCACTTCTTCCCCCTCCAGAGATGCCAGATTGTGGACCAGAATCACTTAGAAGCAGTATGGAAGTCTTATCCATGGACTCTCCGATCTTTTACCACGCCAGAGTTTTTGCCTCAGTGAACAACTGAGCCACGTGTTGCTTTGACTGCCTGTACACATCAGCCAATCAAGCCCGATAGGACTCCTTCTTCTGCAGCTTCCCTATCCGCTGGTGTCCACCAGTGTTTTCGAGGGTTGCTGCCACTAGATGCACATGATAACCTTTTAGCCACAGCTCCAACTAGCCGCCTCAACAATAGTCTCGGATCATGGTCCACTCAGACAATCTCCCCCATCTCCCTCGGAATGTTTTCAAAACTCTCCCGGAAGTGAAAGTCAAGGCTCCATCTCACTGGGTACTCTGCCAGATGTTCTCAGCAAACCATCACAATACATTTGGGCCTACCAGGTCTGACCAGTGTCCCCCCCAACTATTGGAGCCAGCTCACCACCAGGTAGTGGTAGGTGGAGCGCTCCGCCCCTCTCTTCACCCGAGTGTCCAAGACATGTGGTCACAGGTCAGATGAAACAACAACGAAGTCAATTATTGAACTATGGTGTAGGGTGTCCTGGTGCCAAGAGCACATATGGACATCCTTATGCTGTGTCACCTGGAACAAAAAAATCCCTGATGTGTGGCCATGCTTAGCTACTAACACTGGATATGTGATAGAGCTTGTAGTAGAGTTTTTGGGAGAGTTTCTAAGTAAATAATTCGTTTTTTGTAATTTTATGTGATTAATGTTAGGTAAAGACATATTAACAGAGTGAACAGCAGGGTACGCCATGCTTACATGTTTTAAGATAGGTGTGTTTTAAGGTGAAGATTCTCAGTCATCGATGTCATTCCAAAAAGTCAAAAAAACAATCAACTGGACTTGGTTTCCAAGTTTGATAAATGTCTTGCTTCTCATCCACGGAATTTTTTTGAATTTGCCATTTCAAAAATGTATTTTGATGTGCATGTTCTCATGTCAACTAAGTCCTCATTCACCTGAAACACAGAGGTTGAGGCTGCCTTTCGAGAGCTGAAACAGAGGTTCAAAGCCCCCATCTTGGTGCATCCCAATCCGCTTAAACAATTCACCCTCGAGATTGACGTTTCAGACACAGGGGTCGTGCCGTCCTCTCCCAACACTCAGATGACGACAGGCTCCACCTATGTGCCTTCTTCTCCCGCCGTCTGTCACCAGCTGAGCAAAATTATGATGTGGGACACAGGGAACTACTTGCCATCAAATTACTGCTGGAGGAGAAGCATCAATGGCTGGAGGGGACGGAAGAGCCCATAATAATTTCGACAGACCACAAGAACTTGCCTAGCTTCAGAGTGCCAAACGTCTGAATCACAGAAAAGACCATTGTTAATTGTTTTTCACGAGGTTCAATTTGTCTATCTCCTACAGAGCTGGTTCAAAAAAACTAAGCCCAACGGCCTCTCTCGACTCTACTCGCCCATCGACACCAATGAAGAACCTGCCCCATCCTCCTGCTCACCTGCACCTTCGGAGCCCTCCACTGGGAGGTGGGGAACCTCATCTTTGAGGCATCCTGCCTCCAGCCCAGTCCAGGAAACGGCCCTCCTAATAAGTTTTATGTGCCCAACTCTGTCTGTTCCCAGGTGATTCATTGGTGCAACACTGCCAAGTTCTCTGCTCACTCCGGGATCCATCCACTGGCCTTTCTCTCCCGCTTGTTCTGGTGGCCGTCCCTCCAAAGGGGATGTCCGTCAGTACGTCCTAGCATCCCCCACATGTGTCTAGTCGCAGGCCTCCTTCAACCCCTTCCCGAGCCCCTGGTCACACATTGCCCTGGACTTTGTCAATGGGTTACACCCCTCTCAAGGCATGACAAACAAACTCACGACAACTGATCGACAACCTCACGGCCTGTCACCTAGTTCCTAGAAAATGTTGAAATGTGAAATAATTTTAGGAAATGTTAAATATTATCTGCTGACAAAAAAGTAAAAGGTTAAAATTATGTTCTGACTAAAACTAGACTAAAATGTTGACGGTTTTTGTTGACTAAAACTAAACAAATGAAATGATGTTATCTTGGACTAAAAGAAAGACTAAAATGCTCAACTTATAGTCGACTAAAACTAGACTAAATAAAAATGGGATGATGTTAACTAAATGTGACAAAAACTAACAAGTGATGCTGAAACTGGACTAAAACTGAAACAAAATTTAAAAATGGCTGATAAAATTAACACTACATGCCTGCCAGTAGGTCTGGCTCTCCTCCCGCAGCTTCCCTTCAAGATCTTCACCCCGCAAACTGGCTCCCCCTTTCACTGGTCCCTACACCATTGTGTCAGTTATAAGTCCCACTGCAGTCTGTCTTCGACTCTCCATTTGTCTAAAATCAAGCCCATTCTCTCCAGCTCCTTGTTCCCTCCAACCAACCCTGATCCAGCGGATCTTGGCCTCCCGTTGTCGTGGTCAGGCTGGCAGTACTTTGTCGATTGGGAGGGTTGGGGTTCGGAAGATCGGATCTAGGTGACCGGCCCATTACTGATCCCTTCCTCATTAACTCACGTTTACCCCATTTACACTACCCTTGAAAAACCGTGCCGTGACCGGTCCCAGCTGAGTAACTGGGATAACTTATCATGTGTAAATGGAAAGCAAACTGAACTGAACCGAGCTAGACACAACTGAACCGAGCTAACTGCAGACCAGTTCCAGAGGTGAGCTCAGGTTTTTTCCTTCCTCATCTTCTTCTTCTTGGCAAACAACTTTTGGTGCATTACCGCCACCAACTGCTTGATTTCCTCCTTCAATACTGGCAGTAATACCGCAGATCGTCACTAAGAGGCGAGGAATCTAGGAACCGAGATAGCGTGATGTGTAAACGGTCGTCAGAACCAAGCTCGGTCTGGTTAACTGATCCGAGCTCGGACCGGTCTCGGCATGGATCGGTTTTTCAAGGGTAGTGTAAATGGGGTAATTGTTTGATAGAAAAATAGTTAACCCAGATGTAAAATGAGCACTCAGGTATATTGTAGTTACACTTTCTGATAGCTGCTTAAATTTTTTAAAAGGGCTGCAGAGTTGCAACATGGCATCCACACTGTTTTTATTTGTTTTCACACTGTGAAGAAGCTTCATTATATCAGTGATTCAACACCAGCACTCAGGCATATTTTAATTGCCCCCAAAGCAGTGGGCTCCGTTTCATTTCACGTAGAGAACAGTTTCTTCCCCACTGCAATGCGTCTGCTGGATGGTGGGCCATCCACTCCATCGCCTGTATTACTTATCTGTTTGCACAAACGTAAAAAGTTTACTCATATAACTTTTCTATATTTGCACCATTTGATTTTCTGTTTATTGTTGTGATATTAAAACCACAATAATATCCTAATCCTGTCTAATGTATATTTTTTTGTGTTATGAAGTGTTTCTGATCATATACCCTTGAAGATAAGTGTTTGACTAATGCAACATAGGAATCATCCAATATATTTAATGAATGTCACATTGTTGCTTAAACGTTAAGAAGCAGATGTTATAGATTTCTTTTTAATAAACGAAAGTAAAGATAAAACATAAAATTATCTGCAGCTTTTTACAGATTCTTAGTTCAACAGATCTACTGTAAAGTAGAAACTACTTGTTGCTGTTGCTGCAAAGTAGTTGTCCAACTTCCTTTCTGTTTTATGATGTTTTGGCCAGATACATGGCTAAAAAATGAAGCACTTTAAACTGATTGACTTTGTAGCCTGCATGATTAATCACATGCCAGTACCAGTCCTTGCCAACATCCATTAGTAATACCTGTTTTATTTTGTCGGGTGTCTCAGTAGGCTGTTGTTGCAGCTGCACGTTGAACCTCTGCTGTCAGATGGTTTTGTTGGCATTTTTATGGAAATAAGTCTACTTCATCATCAGCAGTTTTGTGTTGTTTCACACCTGTCACTCCACAGAAGTGGGACTTTAATGAGTTCCTGCTTACATGCTTGGGATAAAACATTGCATTTGTTGTAGAGAACCTTTTTCAAGACCTTTCTGCAGAAATTAGCTTTTATAAATTCTACAGTGACCTGCTTTAAGCTCAGGTTAATCTTTTTATATTATGTAACACCAAAGAAGAAAAACGTGTTTCCTATACTTTCTTTAGATGTACTGTAGTTGCACCAATTAAAACTATCTTCTCTTCAGTTTCAGGCTCTAATATTAATATTTTTCCAAATGTGCCGCTCTTACATCACATTCCCTATTCCTGCTTGTGGTGCGTTTAAGCAAGCAGGCAGCCACGTTCCAGGTGAGCTACTTCAGGGTCATGATAAACTACCATTTTCAGGGTCTGTTTCATGGTCCTGAAGCAACACAGAGACACACAAAAACGCACAACCATGCAAACACACCTAAGGACAAATTAGACAATTCAATTAAAATAACAGTCATGTTTTTATTTTTGTTCAGTCATGTTTGCGACGCATCGCTACACTTAGTTGGGAAGATTTTTAGCCACCTTTCCCACAGTGAGAGACTAAAGGGCATCAACCAGACAGTTTCATTCAATGGTTGTTTTTGTTCAAATTGTGTTTTGTACTAAATGGTGTTTTTGCATTAATTACTTTCTAAAAAAAGGAATCTGTATAATCATGCTATGGGCTTTTACGTCATTTTTCATGAGCTCAAACAATGTTTTATGAACTTGAGTACTTTCCTGAATTGCTACTTATTGCCTTAACTGAAGCAGACATATGTTGAAGTACAGTAGGGCTACTTTTACTTGAGTACAACTTTCTGGTTGTCTATCCACCTCTGATCAGATGTTGTTGTAACACCTTTAGGGATTTACTTAAGATGTTGATGTTGTTAGGCAGGGTGTCTTATAAAAACTCTGGACAAACTCAGAGTGAAAAGTTTATTTTGTCAGAGTCTGATGAAGAGGATGCTTTATTTTAAAGAGCTCTTCCTTCTGTAATCACCATGAACATTTCCAGATGTAAAACACACTTTTCAGACTATATGGAGGAATTTTTTGTGTAGTAATTGTTACAAGCAGATAACATGTGTGTAAATGGACTTTTGAAAAAAACTGCTATCCAGAAATTAAACTATGAAAAAACTTTTTCATCCAAAATTGTGAAAGAAATTTAGCTGTTTCCTAAGATCGCCTCCACAATTCTGTTTTCAAATTTTTTTTTTTCATATTTTATTTCTACAAATTTCATTATTAGTTTTGGCAGATGTTATATTTTCATATTCTATTTTGTTTGTTCACATTATCAGATCACATTATCAGTGTTTTACAGATGATGCATTCGTCACTACACTTCTAGTGCGGGCTTTCGTCTTTCTATTGTTCTCCATAGACCTTAGCAACAACATTTTCATTAGTCAAGAGGGAGCGTTTGTTTTCAAGTTTAATTGAAGCGAATGTGATCTGTACACAACAAAATTTGAAAAACTCAATATAAAAAATGTGAGAATATTAAATCTGTTAAAAAAAAGTTTTAAAATTAAAATCAGAAAGAACTAAATTTTAAAAATAAATCTAAGAAACAGCAAAGTTCCTTTAAAAAAAGTTTCCTTGATTAAGAAGTTTTTTTTAAAATTTCCATAATACATGCATGGCTTGCAATAATAGAGAAACCGAATTCCCTCCAAGACTTTGTATTTGTTTAAATGACTTTTATATGTATAAAGAGTCCTTTGGGCCGCTTCCTTATTCAGGGGTTGCCACAGCAAGTCATTAAAACCTGCTCACACACAGTCGTTTTTACCAATTCTGACTCAACCAGGATTTAAACCTAGCCCTCGCCAGAGCTACAGTCAAAGACTTAAACCACTTGAATGTGTAAAACACTATATCCTTTTCTATTTGATAGTATTTATACTATTGCAGTGAGTCACTGGTGGAGATGTGGTAGAAAAAGAAAGTCCCAGTGGGTTTAAGAGCTGGTCATTAGACTGCAGATTGTGTTAGTCTTCTTCCAAAATGAGCAGCGCTGGACAATCATTATCTTTATGTTTTTAGGCCCTCTTGTGTTTTCAAAATGTTTACAAGTATTTAGCTGTAATCTTCAGATTTACTTCTAGACAATACTTCTATTGTCATGGTTTTGGTTCTGTTTAAGTTTTCAGTTTCACTTTGATCCATGTTCTTCTTTGTTTTCTAGTTTTATTGGTTTAATTCCAATTTTGTTGTGTTTTTCCGGATGTATTTGAGTTCTTAGGTGTTTATTGGTTGCCATCTGTTGCCCTCTTGTGTTGGTCTCCTTTTCCCTAGCCTAGCTCCTTCTAGAATCCTCTGTTCACACCTGCTCCCAATCAGCTCATTAGTCCAGTCTTTGTTCAGTCTCCCATATATACTCTCCCTGTGCAGTTCCTCAGTGCTGGTTCCTTGTCTTTTCTGGCTCCCCACACAAGTTTCCCCCTGTAGTAGTCTGGTTTTTGTGGTTCCTTGTATTTTGTACTTTGGTTTTTGGATTTTTGCCTCAGTTATTTAATTAAATCTTCAAGAACTCACTTCTGCCTCTTCTCCTCTGCATTTGGGTCCTCAAAACCTTAACCAGACCCTGACGTCTATAATATCCAAACAATGTCAGTTAACAATCTCAGTGGAGACAGTCTGAAGACCAATATATTGCTGCGGTTGTCTCAAGTTTTCTTGGATATTATACAAAGACTGTTCTGCTCAACAGAGGATTTTATCGTCTCAGGTAAGCAAATGCAATATTTTAAAACAAATCACTGCACCGTTTTTCTTGTAAAGGTGCATAATGAGATTCACTTTTCATCCTTTAGTCTGTCTGAAGAACAGATTGTGCTTCTGTGATTTACAACAAGTATAAAATAGAACTCACCTTTTAGGGAATGTTAATGCTCACTCGTTCATTTCATCTTCTTTAGGCCTTCAAATCTCCTATACTGTCATTTATTCTGTACATATTTTCCTGCTGTAGATGCTGCAATTGTACAAAAGAAATCTCTCATTTCAAGGCTCCACATGCGCAGAATTGAAAGTGTTTACTGCAGATAAATGGTAGACTTTAATTTCCACAGGTGGCCATTTACTATTCTAAATGCAAACTGTTCATCATGTCTGAGCTGAACTGCTGATTCAGCTCCAAACCTTACAAAGTAAAAGTTGCTATGGTGTAAGATAATAGTCGATAAAACGTATCTGTACATGTCTGTATTTGTGAATGAAAGCCAATAATGTAAAGGAATTTAGGATGTGTGTTTGTTCCTTGAAACAAGCACAAATCACAAATTTACAAGTTCATATTCGTAAGCTTGTGATTTGTAGTTATAAGTTTGCAATTCATAATCATTTGGTTGTTATTTGCTTTTGTAAATTTGTGTCATATTCTTCAGTTTGTGATTTCTGTTGGTAAATTTCTAATTCATGGTAGTAAGACATCGATTGGTACTCACTCATACAGTATATCAGTGATTTGTGCTTGTGAACTTGTGATTTGATTTGTTTGCAATTCCAAACTTATTTGTAAAACTTGAATAGATAAAGCTGTGATTCTTACTCTAGCTTCATTATTAGTACCACTAAATTAGTGATCCATATGTAAAATGTTTTATTCTTTCTCATACATTTGTTATTTATACTTTGTATTCATGAATTTGAGATTTTTATTTGGAAAGTTGTTATTTTTACTGGCTAATTCAATTGCTAATTTAATTTGAATGAATGAATAGGAATTTATTTCAGACAATCTGATAAACAATAAATGGATGAACCAAATACACACCAAAAAGACTGGTGAACATCAAACCAAACCAAACACCAATTTCCAAACCAACTAAATTCACCTAAACATATATAGAAACAAATCCATCACCAAATAGACCTGTCGGTATATGCAGCTAGAGAAGTGACATTGATTGATGTAAATTGTCTGAAAAGGGGTATGAAGAAGTAAAACTTAGATTTCATACGCCCTCTCCCTCTATTTGCACTTAAATTAACTTAAAATAGAGTAATCTCACTAGAGTAACCTTAGCGTTGGTTTGTTAGCCAATCAAAATCACTGTTGCCAGTCATTAAAGCAGGCTTTAATAGTTTTGGCTGTCAAGCAGGTAACAGGTTCTGCTGAATAATGAAATCAGCATCTCCATAAAGCTTGTCAGCACGGTGAAGAATTAAGTGCTCTCAAATTGTTGGTGGATGGCTGTGCTGACTTTAGACTTAATAAAACACAATGGATCAACACCAGCAGATGACACGGTCCCCGCAATCGTCACAGACTTCAAACAATGTCGGTTCAGTGGCTCTCCTCTCTCCCTTCAGACTCTGCGATATTGATTTCTATCTGAAAAACAGACTTTGGACCACTAAGCAAAAGTCCATTCTTTTTTCTACTTGGCTTAAATAAAACTTTTATTTTGTTCACAAATCTTTCTGTTTTTGTAAGGTATAAAGAGGTTAATCATTTAAAAAAAAAAAGGTTATTCAAATAAAATCGTTGGGACTATGTTATTGTTATATTTTATTCATTAAATTAATGAATTGAAGTTTAATAAAATATAATTGTGACTTCATCTTTACAAAATAAATGTGTTTTTATTTAGTTGGTTTGTTCACTTGTGTTTTAATTCTGTCGCTGTAGCTTACTCATGAGTTTTTACGCATGTTTCATATGAGGGGGGGCCTCAGCTGAAAGTGTACTGGTGTAGGGGGGCCTTGGCAAGGTAAAGTTTGGGGATTCTTGCTCTAGCGATCCTGAGTGTTTCTTATTGCCTGATCCGGACCCGTTCTACCTCTGAGCCTGCCTGTCCCCATTCTGATCTGTTTGCCTTACCTGTCTTAGGACCCCTGCTGGATTTCTTCATGCCTGTGAACCGAACCTGGAACTGTTTCCCATCTCTGTACTAGATTTCCCCATTGCATCTCTTCGGACCTCTGATTTCTTGGTTCTGACTACGGAGCATGTCTTTGACATCAGCTTTGGCCTTAACCTCTGGATTTGACAGCTTTCCTTCGTCTGCTCGCTTCTGGTCTCCTGCCTGTTCTCCGACCTCTGGGAGCCACAAGCTGGGCTCCTACTGTCAAAATCCTCCATTATGGATCATAAAGTTGGGCCTTTTTTTCAGTGCTTGGTCCCGTTTCTCTCCTAGACATAGCTATGGGCTCAGCATTTACTGTGATTAACTGGATTTTCTCTCCTTCATCCCTTTGACATGAAAATCGGCTCATCCATAGGTCATCTGCTTAACTGTTTCTTTGTTAAACAGAGAGACCTGTGTAGCTAGTTTAACATTCCCTTCTCTACCGTAGAAAATATTTATGGATCTGCCCTTCTTTTTTGCTGTATGCCTGGTTTTCTTGGAGGTTTCTTCCTGTTAAAATGTTTTTTCTCTCCACCGTCACTGCATGCATGTTCAATGAGAGGGATTGCTCCAGAGTCGATGACACAGTAAGAGCAAATGTCCACTGTCACCACATGCTCATCCAAGAGAAGCGAATCCTGCAAAGTCATGACTCGATTCAGTCAGCTGGCTTTCTTTTGAAAACTTGTAACCATTCTGTCTGTATGATCTGACTGAATTGTCTCTGTAAAGTGCCTTGACATTGAATGTTCTTGATTTGAGCGATATGAATAAAATAAATTGCATTGAATTAATATTTTAATCTCTGTGGGAAAAATCGTGCTTTCAACTGTTAGATAGAAAAATGCTTAGAATACACCACTTTGTGAATAATGAAACTATCTGTAAGCTTCTGTCTTTATTTGGGATTACTAGAAAAAAAATAACTTTTGGATTGTATTCTGATTTGCGTTTTAGAAATACTGTTTTTTTCCACTATTTTCATAATCAAGACCAAGCACTGTGGTTTGGCTTGCAGTTTACATCCAGTAGTCTATCAGGAGCCCAAGTGAACCTTTCATCCAGCAAAAAGAAAAAAGAAAGAAATCAAACAAACAGCATGTTGTTACCAAAACAAGAGGTTTTCTATTGGCTTGTGAGATTCGAAAATATAAAGAGGTTGAGAGTCAGGCAGGCAGCAAGAGAGAAAGAGAGAGAGAAGGAGGGATGAGAAGTGCTGCTGCAGAACACACCTCATCTCCTCTTTAGCTGGAGGGATAGAGGGAGAAAGAGACTCAGTCTGTGCCAATTTTCTTCTCTGCTCCAGAGAGAGAGGGGGAGCCGGGGAAGTGATATTTTAGAAACCTTATCAGATAAACAAACATCAGACAGAGACAGATAGAGGAGAAAGGAAGAGAAGAGGCTTGGCGTACAAAGCATCCAAAAAGAGAACAAACGAAGACAGGAGGAGCGGCAGAGAGAGATGTAGTCAATGCTTCTGTTGCGGTAAGAGGCTTGAATGTTGTTGATATTCTTTGAGCTAGGAGGACATCCTAGCACACGCAGAGACATGCACACATGCAGCACTGAATGCATGCGCAACCACTTAAAGGGGATGACAGCAGGTGTGTGTGCGTGAGTTAAATAGAGAGTATTGTAGGGAAATACATGTTTGTGTCAGAGGATGTCAGCGTGCATGTTGGAACAGATGCAGAGGAATGCATCTTTCTTTAATGAATCTTCTTATTTTTGATCTGCATCCAGCACGTCTGTCTCTGTCATAACAACCCCCCACCACCCAGCTCTCCATCCTGCCCTGTTGCTTGGGCTCTCTGTACTGGGGAACATCTCATACATACAACCCAGCTTTACAGAGAAAGAACAAAAAGGAGAAAATGTGTCAATATTCAGAATTTATTCTTAGTTGTCATGTAGTTTCAGCCGACAGCTTTCCTCGTAGGTTTCTGTTAGAGCTGGGGGATTACAGCGGATTATCGTAGAATTATCCCACTTCTGATCTTAATGTAGAGTTCAGAGCGAAAGGTTAGAAAGAACCAGGTGTCTGTAAGGGTTAGCTTATCTAATCAAGAGTCTACATATTGCTCAGGCAGATATTTATGCATTATCTTTTCATATTTTGTTTTATATCATCCTTAACAACCATAAAAAAATACATTTGTGTGAGGAATGATTCAAACCAACCCACATGAAAAACAAGAAGAAACAAGAGAAAGAAGGAACAACAAAACGGTTATCCCATTTGAATAAATGAATAGTAATTCCTATTTCAGACAGACAATTTGACAAACAACAATAAATGAATCAACTAAATACACACAAAAAAGACTAATTGACATCAACCAAACCAAACACCAATTTTCAAGCTAACTAAATTCACCTAGACATATATAGAAACAAATCCATCACCAAAATAGACCTGTCAGTATATGCAGCTAGAGAAGTGACATTGATTGATGTAAATTGTCTGAAAAGGGGTATGAAGAAGTAAAACTTAGATTTCATANTGATTTGAGCGATATGAATAAAATAAATTGCATTGAATTAATATTTTAATCTCTGTGGGAAAAATCGTGCTTTCAACTGTTAGATAGAAAAATGCCTATCTGTAAGCTTCTGTGTTTATTTGGGATTACTAGAAAAAAAATAACTTTTGGATTGTATTCTGATTTGCGTTTTAGAAATACTGTTTTTTTCCACTATTTTCATAAGCAAGACCAAGCACTGTGGTTTGGCTTGCAGTTTACATCCAGTAGTCTATCAGGAGCCCAAGTGAACCTTTCATCCAGCAAAAAGAAAAAAGAAAGAAATCAAACAAACAGCATGTTGTTACCAAAACAAGAGGTTTTCTATTGGCTTGTGAGATTCGAAAATATAAAGAGGTTGAGAGTCAGGCAGGCAGCAAGAGAGAAAGAGAGAGAGAAGGAGGGATGAGAAGTGCTGCTGCAGAACACACCTCATCTCCTCTTTAGCTGGAGGGATAGAGGGAGAAAGAGACTCAGTCTGTGCCAATTTTCTTCTCTGCTCCAGAGAGAGAGGGGGAGCCGGGGAAGTGATATTTTAGAAACCTTATCAGATAAACAAACATCAGACAGAGACAGATAGAGGAGAAAGGAAGAGAAGAGGCTTGGCGTACAAAGCATCCAAAAAGAGAACAAACGAAGACAGGAGGAGCGGCAGAGAGAGATGTAGTCAATGCTTCTGTTGCGGTAAGAGGCTTGAATGTTGTTGATATTCTTTGAGCTAGGAGGACATCCTAGCACACGCAGAGACATGCACACATGCAGCACTGAATGCATGCGCAACCACTTAAAGGGGATGACAGCAGGTGTGTGTGCGTGAGTTAAATAGAGAGTATTGTAGGGAAATACATGTTTGTGTCAGAGGATGTCAGCGTGCATGTTGGAACAGATGCAGAGGAATGCATCTTTCTTTAATGAATCTTCTTATTTTTGATCTGCATCCAGCACGTCTGTCTCTGTCATAACAACCCCCCACCACCCAGCTCTCCATCCTGCCCTGTTGCTTGGGCTCTCTGTACTGGGGAACATCTCATACATACAACCCAGCTTTACAGAGAAAGAACAAAAAGGAGAAAATGTGTCAATATTCAGAATTTATTCTTAGTTGTCATGTAGTTTCAGCCGACAGCTTTCCTCGTAGGTTTCTGTTAGAGCTGGGGGATTACAGCGGATTATCGTAGAATTATCCCACTTCTGATCTTAATGTAGAGTTCAGAGCGAAAGGTTAGAAAGAACCAGGTGTCTGTAAGGGTTAGCTTATCTAATCAAGAGTCTACATATTGCTCAGGCAGATATTTATGCATTATCTTTTCATATTTTGTTTTATATCATCCTTAACAACCATAAAAAAATACATTTGTGTGAGGAATGATTCAAACCAACCCACATGAAAAACAAGAAGAAACAAGAGAAAGAAGGAACAACAAAACGGTTATCCCATTTGAATAAATGAATAGTAATTCCTATTTCAGACAGACAATTTGACAAACAACAATAAATGAATCAACTAAATACACACAAAAAAGACTAATTGACATCAACCAAACCAAACACCAATTTTCAAGCTAACTAAATTCACCTAGACATATATAGAAACAAATCCATCACCAAAATAGACCTGTCAGTATATGCAGCTAGAGAAGTGACATTGATTGATGTAAATTGTCTGAAAAGGGGTATGAAGAAGTAAAACTTAGATTTCATATACACACACACACACATTTAAATCTCTTTTACTACAATTATATCTGTATTAATAATTTTAGGCCATGACCCAGGCTCTGGGGAATTTGGGAATTAGCAGGTCATGAGAAAGTCTTGTCCTCAGCTCTCTTGGTTGCTCTTTGCTTTTGATCTATGGGGAGCCAACACACTGTTGCCTTGTAGATCAGGCAATGTTCAAAAGCTTACAGCCTAAAAAAGCTTTTAGCATCTCCAAAAACCCCCACAAGATTTAGCAAAAGCAACTTTTGCTAAATAGCAATTTGAGTTTGGTTCTGTCAAGATTTGATTATGGATTGAGGACCCAAGAGCAGAGGCAGGAAGGCAGATGTGAATTGTAAGTAAATTTAATGATGAATTTAAAGAACTGAAAACAGAGGCAGGTTATCAAAAAAAACCAAAATGTAAAACAAAGTCCAAATTAACAGGAAACCAGGAGATCCAAAAATCAAAAAGAAAAAGAGGTCCAAACAAAACAAGAAAACAGGAGTCCAAAATTCAAAGATCTAAAAAGGAAAAAAAAAACAAGAAAACACAAGTCAAACGTTACCCAAAAAACATGGAGTCATCAGGGGAAGAACTGTAACCAGGAGGAAGGCTCAGAGAGACGAGTTGGAGGAAGACAGATGAGATTAGACGAGGACCCAGCAAAAAAAAACTGAAGAGGGGGAGCCTTAAGGAGACTGAGACAAAGAGAAGAATAATGAGCAGATTGGGAACAGGTGAGCACAGGGCAGGAGAGGAAAAGAGCTAGGGAAAAAAGGAGAACACAAGAGGGCAGCAGAGGGACACAACAGAACCAAGACTGAGACAGTAACTGAAAAAAATCCAAAGAACACAACAAAATAAGAATGAAATCATAAACAAACTATAAAACAAAGAGCAAAGCTAAACTGAACATCAAAAGAAAAACATAACAGAAACAGAAACCGAACAGGTTCATTTAAGTAGAGAAGTCCTGCCATTGACAGACGTTTTCCTGCTGCATCTAAAGTTTCTACAGAACATCTGCAGAATACTAATGGCCCCTGAGAGCAGAAATATGCTGCATTTAGCCAAACTTTAAAAGATTGCACAGAGTTACGACGGTATCTAGGGATTCATACACATCTACTTTGTTCTACATTTATGAACAATTGAAATGACAAGGCAACGCTTTACTGGCACTTATCAGCACATGATTCTGCTGAAAAGGCTGTAAACGCTATGAGCTTTCCAGGACAAGCGATAAAAGCAGAGGAGATCAAAATTAAATGATGAATCCATTATTGAGCAGGTTGCATGTAAAAGGAAGAATTAGCTAAAATTAAAGCAAATGGATGATGGAGGGGTATGATGAGTCCTAAGAGGATAGAAATGCTCCTTTTTAGTGTTACTGCTGCTATAAACTGACTTATGTGCAGCAGTCACAACAACTCCTACCTTTAGCCTAAATTATATTTGTTTTTTTGAAAATATGTCTTTATAAAGCTTTAAATCATTTTCTACCTTGACAGACGGATAAACTCTGACATTTTTTCTCAAACTCTACAAAACACCTAAGAAAAGCTGTAAAGCTTTTTTGCATTTTCTTCAAAGTAGGAGATAAACTACATCATCTACCAGGATGAGAAGAGTTATGAAAAGCCAAGAGAGGTTATGGAATAGTTTAGTTTAAAAATCCAATAATAGTAATAATTAGACTGGTGGCTTTTATTGCAGTGGAAATAGATGTTTAAAACAACGTTGACCAAATGGAGTCTCAATCTGAATGAATTCAGATTTACTCTGTGGGATTCTATAGCTCAGGTTTTACAGAAATATCTTGTCAGGATAAATGCAGTAGGGACATTTTTTAACATGGATGCTGAGTCAGCAAATAGAGATAATAATGACATTTAATTCAAATTCATAACCAGAACATGCTAAATATTTACAAACTTGGTGTTTGGTTAATAATTTCCAAAAGTGAATGTAGCTTACAGTAAGTCTTTGTTACTGTTTTCCTATTTTCTCTTGGTTATTAATTCCTTAATCTTACATTTAACCCTTTATAGGGTAATCAGTGAAATACTTTGAAAATTAAAATTTCAAGCCAATAGTGTTATTGGAATCCAGGGTAAGACCTTATTACCTTTGTAACATTAAAAAAATATGGATATTTTGATGGATAAAAATGAATGTCAATGTAGTAACAAGAAACGCCAACTTGCCCAAATATGTTAAAGGAACACTTTGCAACCGGTGTTGATTTTCCAGCGAGGC